GGGTAGGGGGCCAAAAGAAGATAAGGAAGATGATAAATGGAAAATGAAATGGTTTTTGTGGGTATGGAAAAAAGGGATAGGACGGAAATGAGAAAACTGTAAACACAGAGGAATGCGATTGGCATTCCTGAATCATAGGGCAAAAAGAAGAAAAAAAAAAGACATTATATAATTTTTATAATTAGAACTACACATTTACAGTTATAAAACAGTGTTGTTTTTGCAGCACATCGGCGGAGACATAAATATTGCAGTGCCGTCCTGGGGGATGCTGGATATTTCAGGCAGATTCCATAACCGCATCCAGGACACCACCTACAAATTTGGTTATCATACTGCCCCGGTGAATATGCTGGGCCTCAAAAAACACCACTTTGTTCAGCTTATGTCCGATCCGTCACTGCACGCCAATCGTGGTATTTTTTTGATCGAAGCTCTTACTACAACCCTTCCAAGTTAGTGCTGTGGCAAACATGGGTTTAAACAGATTAGGGAGATACTGAGTGAGGCAAAATTGGCTTTCAGTTAGCAATTTTTTCATGCAGACAAACCAAGCTTCTCGAGATTCTGTGTTCTCGGTGCTCCTCAGCCGGATTATGAGGCCCGAATGAGGAAGACTGATGAAAACAGTTCGAAACAGAATTGTCAGTAGCACAGTGAAGTGTATTGCAGCTCGGCAGCCGCTAATCCCTGTGGCGAAAGTACCACGAAGTTTCGTACCGATGTCGTGCAGAGCTCCGCTGTGTAACCCTTACACACACAATTTTGCTTTTGGTGTACGTTTCTTTTATATTTCTAGAAAAAATTATTTTATTTTGTGCCAAATAATACTATTTTGACCTAAAATTTTCTAACATGATGAAATCGGTTGTAGGGTTGAAGTAGTTGTATGCGGCGTGGCTAATGTGCCTTACATTGGGTAGTCTGCTAGCCTCCAAAACCAGCTCTATGAAAATACAGTGCCGAAACAGTCTTTCAGCCCAAAAAATAATTTTGAGGCCTCTCGAACTTGGCAAAATTATTTTACTAATGGCTGAGTACTGTCTGAACTACAAAATCGTTTTAATTCTGGCATTTCTAGAAAAAAACTCTGTGCTTTCTAACAGCTAAAAAAAATGCTATAATTTTTTGAGGTCATTTTAACGTCCAGCTCAGTAGCCTCAGCCCTCGCCAAAGATGAAGTATTCTATTTTGCGGCTTATAGTTTTTCAAAAAAATTAATTCCCCGGCAAATAGCCTCCCATAAGCTTCCCAGTTTTGAAGAAAACTATTTGGCTATTTGTCTTCCTTGGTGTACCACAGGATTTTGCATCTGTAAGCATTTAGTTTGCCTACCGCATAACTCTTCTTTTTTCGTCTGAACGAGCTCAGTTCGTGATCTTAATCCATGGTTGGATTATGAAAAGGCTGCCTTTTTCGATAATCGGCTTCTTTGTTATAACTTATCCGAGACTGTTTATCTTAGGCGTTTATGAGGCCGTCTTTCACTGATTTTTCTTCGGAAGTAATTTACGTATGGGTATCAGTAAGCACAGCTGCTTTTTTGCACCTCTCTGAAATTAACCGTAGGCTTGTTGTAGTATGAAGAAGACGTTGGTGGCTGGAACGGCATCGAAGGCGATATTGATGTGCCGATTCCAATATCCAAGAATGTCGCATATCGCTTCCCGTTCTCCGGAAATTTCTACTGGCGTAAGTTTTACCATGCAACTTCACTTCCTGTGCGATTTTTGCAGTATGTACGTACTGCAGTAAGACTGTTTTATGTTCGTGCGCCCAGAATTGTCATTTTGGGAATTAGGAACTTGAAAAAATGAGTTTTGGCGTTTTGATGCGCAGCCAATTACAAAGTTACTGGCCCAAAATGAGCTTACGGATTGCTCTGCTACCGATATTGGGTTGAAATTTGGGCTGATTTTTCAGACAAAAAACGAAAATCAAAAGACACGCAATTCTTGCTGTTTGATTTGTCACGTAAAACTGGCTAGAACAGTTGCTTTGATATTACATTTCCATGTGGGGCGAATTAGCAAAAAACTTTGTTCTTTCATTTCCCACATAATAGAATGGAAGATTTGAAATCAGTTTCACATTATTTTCTGGATTTCTAGTTCTGGCTATGAAAAAAGGAGATCTTCATTAAATTTACAAGCATGCGCTCAGAACATTTCATTTTAAGACTCTTCAGACAAGTTTTTTGGTTATTCCAAGTTAGCAATGTTACTGAGATGCTCCCAAACACGCCAAACCTTTCCATCCCAGGCTGCATACTTCCGGTTACTGCCCGCCATCTTTCGATTTACGTATGTAGAGACTTCTCTACAGTCGCGGGAGACATATAACTGGGCCAGCTCACTGGAATACGTCGCTAATTATTCGTTTTAACATTTGAGAAAATTTCTCATTTCCACTGAAAACTTAGTTCCCGGACCGAAGTATTACTTAGTCAGGTTTTAATGTTATAATTCATCGTCCCATAAATACCGAGCTATACTAATACTTTAAAATACTGCAGATCCGGACAACAAAACTGTCACTTATGGACACAATTTTAATAACATCGAGCCGTACTTCAGTTTGTTCGAATATCAGAAGTACTCTCCGGATTTTCCAGAGGATATTTTTCGTCGCCGCAAGAAGCGTCAAGCTGTAATTTATTATGCGTTTTGTGCTGAGCAACAGCGTTGCAAAACACATATTGTCACGGGTTTTTCTGTGTGTGTGTGTGTGTGTGTGTTTGTGTCTGTGTCCCACATTTTGTCCCGCACTTTTAACTCGGGAACCACAAAAGTTAGGCGGCTGAAATTTTGGTATAGTGTTCTCTGCCAGCGGGTGACG